CAACTGAAATCCCCGCCACCTGGGAATTATGTGTTCACTTGTATGCAGAACTTGATCGGAGGGTCATGATTATCTACGCACCAGCTGGACAAACCTTTGCAAGGCATTCATGTCCGAAAATAACTCAGCAAATGGATGTTGTTCTAAATTCTAGCGCCAAGCCTAAGGCCGTAGGGCTCCCTTGCGCCTCGCCCTTGCCGCCTTGCGCCGTGCTAGTGTTTGGCCACGCCGGCAAACATGCCAACTACAAAACGTGGTGCCGACAAGGTTTTCTGGGGGTGTCCTAGAAGCGATGTTTCCATAAGCTGGCTGGATTGTCAGTAGTACGAGCTTAGTACTGGAAGCGATGATTCCGTAAGCCGGCTGGATTTTCGGGCGCTTAGGCCTGCCACGCTGGTTTTGGGCGCCATGGTTAAGCACTGGCAACAAAGGTATGGCCGGCAGGGGCTTAGAACAACGCCCAAATACACACAGTGCCGCGCAAGCTGCTGCCAAAGGCTGCGGGCCACCCGCCGAGGAGCTTGTTGCAGACCCCGCTGTGCCCTTGGGAAACTACGTCGTGCAAAAACAACATCTCTGGCTGCCCAACGTAAACATCACAAACATACAGCGACTGCGACAGAAGATCTTATCAAGCACTGCCATGACAGCATGCTTTTTCGTGAAACTTCAACTGCGTAACATCCAACGCACTAAACCGTTGGGAAGTGCAGTCGCGCAAAAACAACATGCGGATGCCCGGTGTCAATGGAAACAAAAAGAAACAAACAGACACATGTAAACTCAACCTTTGTGCCTCTATAATACATTCGTCGGCGACAACAGATCTTAACAAGCACTGCTTTGATAGCATGCTTCTTGTAAGTCCAACCACATAACCTGAAATGTCCGGAAATAACTCAACAAACACACACGGTGCCGTGCAAGCTGCTGCCAACGGCTGCGGGCCACCCACCGAGGCGCTTGTTGCAGACCCCATTGCGCCCTTGGGAAACTACGTCTTGCAAACATCTGTGGCTGCCCAACGTCAACATCACAAACATACAGCATCCGCGCAAAAGATCTTATCAAGCACTGCCATGACAGCATGCTTTTCGTGAATCTTGAAGTGCATAACATCCAGCGCGCTGCACCCTTGGGAAGTGAAGTCGCATAAAAACAACATGCAGATGCCCAGTGTCAACGGAAACAAAATGAAACAAACAGACACACAATACATTCGTCGGCGACAAAAGATCTTAACATAAGTCCAACCACATAACCTCCAATGTCCGCAATTAACTCAGCAGATGGACGTTGTCCAAATTCTAGCGCCAAACCTAAGGCCGTAGGGTTCCCTTGCGCCTAGCCCTTGCCGCCTTGCGCCGTGCTAGTGTTTGGCCACGCCGGCAAACATGCCAACTACAAAACGTGGTGCCGACAAGGTTTTCTGGGGGTGTCCTAGAAGCGATGTTTCCATAAGCTGGCTGGATTGTCACTGTTTCGTAGTACGAGCTTAGTACTGGAAGCGATGATTCCGTAAGCCGGCTGGATTTTCGGGCGCTTAGTCCTTGCGCTCGCACTTGAGCCCCCTTGCGCCATGCTGGTTTTGGGCGCCATGGTTAAACACAGGCAACATATGTATGGCCGGCTCAATTAAAGGCCAAGAGGCGGGGGTTTAGAACAGCGCCCAAACACACACAGTGCCGTGCAAGCTGCTGCCAACGGCTGCGGGCCACCCACCGCGGCACTTGTTGCAGACCCCGCTGTGCCCTTGGGAAACTACGTCGTGCAAAAACAACATCTGCGGCTGCCCAACGTCAACATCACAAACAGACAGCATCTGCGACAACGGATCTTAACAAGCACTGCTTTGATAGCATGCTCTTGTAAGTCCAACCACATAACCTCCGAACACACAGTGCCGCGCAAGCTGCTGCCAACGGCTGCGGGCCACCCGTCGCGAAGGCGCGCTCCTCACATGTCTATGGGGCCCCGAAGACTCGGGACGCAAAGCCTGAATAATCATTGTAAACGTCGATAGACACATCCCATCAGTATTGCTGCCTTTTTGGCCTCCCACGCCTGCCAACACTGTCATACCTGGGAAGAAGTCCTGCCGGCAAGTACGGAGTTCGAGCTCCACCAAGCGCCGCTCGGCCAAGAGATCCTGCAATTCTCGGATAGAGGACGCAAGAACTTGAGCGGTCATTGAGTAGCCACCCAACCTTCAGGCCGGCCAGTTTGTCCTGCCTCTGGGTCACCAGGGCAAGCAACTGAGCCTGCCACACCCGGCACTTCTCCTTGTGCTTGCAACGGCACCCTGCAAGCCTCCAAAGCCCGCTGCTCACGGGCGAAGATCGTGAGCCTTTGCTATTTCAGCACTACAAGAGGTCGTACCAGTATCGTCCTGCACAACCCTCCGAGCTGCAGCGTGCCGCGTGATTACAAACATTGAAACTTCGTTGCTGCCAGGAACTGCTCGGGGATGGCGATCAGCCCCGAAGGCCTCGGTTGGATGAATGAAGCGCATGGCTCCAAGGAAAGCCTTTGCCACGCAGAGTTCTGGGAGTGTCCCTTGGCACCAAGGCCACGGCGCTGTGCGCGGAGCTCCACGGCGGAGGGCCTGCTTAATGGGCACGCTTGTGATCTTGCACGCTGCAACATAGGGCTCTTTGACGCGCACGCCTCCCGCAGTTGGCCGACTTTGCGACCAAACTCTCGGGCCATGGCCCGGAGCTCCGCCTGGGTGGCGTGCGTTGATGCTGCCAGGCAAGACCAGACAAGAGGTGGAGAGGTCATATGTTGACATGGGGTTCTCAGAACTTGGGCTCAGTGGACAGCGAGACTGGGGACAATAGTTTCTTGGAATATGTTGGGGGCGCGTACTTGTGACAAACACCCAGATCGTTCATTCCCCTCGACCATCGGAAAGCTGCCTTGCGGGCCAGGTAGGTCACCTTGCCCTGCTGCAACTCCTGTCTCATCCATGCACTGTAGAACCCCTCGGCTAGAAGACTAGAGCCGCAAAATGTAGTTGACAGTCAACACTAACGCGCATCCTCGATGCGGAGCTGCAAGGCTGCCTTGCGGCCCAAAAGAAAAGCTGCCTTCACGGGACGTTCTCTTCTGCCCTCTCATTTTTGAACTTAGCTGGACTGCGCCCTGAAGCTGCCTATTCCTTCGAGCACTGCTGCGAGAGCATGCTTCTTCATGGTCCAACCACATGTCTATGAACCTACGTTTACTCAAGCACCGCTGTCACAGCGTGCTCATGGGGTAGGAGAGGGGTAAACGACTCCGGCAACATCCGGCAACCAAACTATCCTGAAGTGGATGACAAGCCTCATCCTCCGACTAACATACTATTTCAAGCACTGCCAGCTGGGCATGCTTCTGCTAGGCACTTTAGCGCACAACGTTGGTAGATGCCCCAAGTCACCTGCTGCGATGAAGCCATGACAGCGGGGAAGTCTTCGGAGGTGGCACCTATCCCAGAGTGTTGACTGCACATGGGCAAAGCAGAAACCAGCGAGTTGGAGCACTGCTGCGTGTTGTTACTTGAACAAAGAAAGCATTTAGCCGAAGGAAGCGTCAAAGGAATCACCACAGTATTCAGGCGTGACTTATATAAGGGTTCAAACAATTTTGTGCGGAATCCATCCTTTTGGGTACGTTTCCCGGCCTGGAGATGAAGTACGCTGGAACTTGCCCAATCACTCGAGCCAAACGCAAGGCAAGATTGTATGGGCAAGCTCCATGCATCAAGGCTTGCTGGAGGTTCAAGGGCTACAGGGCTGCAAGGCTGTTTTCGTCAAGGCGTAGAGGCCTTCTAGACTTCCGAACGTTCCCCATTACCCTAACTGTCCTTCATTGGAGAGCAACTTAGTGACTTAGTGTAACACAGGACCACAACGGTCCCTAGCGAGCACCGCCACAAGGGCCTGCTCTTGGCGCTTTACCACCCTCCCCTTCGTCGCATGCACCATACAAGGCTAAACCAGGGTTACTTCTAGTGTGATTTACCTTCTCCCATTTCAGATCCGTGCATATCGTACACCGCGACTACAATAAGCCCTTATTCAAGCATCGGCATAAAGGCGTGCTTCTCCAGAAACAGACTTTGCCACAAGATAGACCGTCAAAGAAATTGAAAGCACTTCGAAAACAGAACAGCTCCGCTATGGAAATGCTCGAGACCCGACAGCTGAAGGTCTGACCGTCCCCCCTCCCCCCGCAGTGGGTCGTGACCAATGCTGCTGAGCCTTGCCAGGACCTCAGAATACATGTTGAAAATGCAATGATGCCACTGTTCTATGAGAGCTGTAATACAGAAAAGACTATCTTTCAGACTCGCCAGCAGACAACAGGACCGCCAACTTGAAAGGATCATGCAAACCCTCATACAAACCAACGGAGCCCAGCCGTACCAGATGAAAGATATCCCCAATCAAGGCAGGGACAAGCTCGCGAGTTGTGTGACAAAGTCTCCTCAACCTGTGAACAATTGGATGACTGAATCCTGCACTCTACAAGGTAGAACTCCCAGGCATTGCGGCGGTAGCGCCTAGCGAGTGTCATGCAAGATGTTGTGCTTCAACAACAATCTTTTGACTGGGTAAAGCATGTGCCCACAGCCACCTTTCATTGAGATCTCCTTCCGCCCCAACTGCAAGGGGTCTCAGGAGTCTAGCTTGCCAGATATAATGGATATAATGAACGCATCAACAGCAAAAAGAGCGGGTCATTGATCAGGCTGGATGGTTTGATAGGACATGCCCCCACCGTCGTCCTCAGCGTGCTGCTGGCATTTCGGGCCATAACCTGCCAACAATTCGAGGACGGCTTGGTCAAAAGTCCCCGCATGAAAACCACAAGAATAGCGCAATGACTTCCACAAGAGCAGTTTTCTTGACGGTCCAAACGCATGTCTTTGAACCTATGTTTACCTTAAGCACCGCTGTCATGGCGTGCTTATGGGGTAGGGTACGCAACACCGGCAACCAAACTGTCATGAAAAGATGACAAGCTTCATCCTCTGGCTAACATGCAATTTCAGAAACTGCCATCTTGGCACGTTTTCTTTAGCGCACAACGTTGGTAAATGCCACCTGCGCGACGCAGCGATGGCAGTGGGAAAGCCTTCGGGCGCCCCTACCTATGGGTCCCTCATTGATACAGGACGTTGTGAGTATGCTTCATTGCATCCCATGGTGTTGATTGCACATGGGCAAAGTGGAAGCCAGCAAGTTGGAGCATTGCTCCGCTTCCTTGCTGCTAGCACAAAGCAAGCGGAGTCCGGTTCGAGCCAAGAGCAGGGCGAGCTTGCGCGGGCCGGCTCCAGACATTGGCCAGGGGCTCTTTGCATCCACGTGATCGAATAAGCCTTCTAGACTCGGAACTTACGGTGTAGGGTCGTTGTTATGCTCCCACTATGCACCATACAAGGCTACCAGGATTACTTCTAGCGTGATTTGCTACCTCCAATGTCAGATCCGTGCTTACTGTCAATGGCCCGTCCTGGACGTGTTCTATGGGCTCCTTCGTAGGATGGATTCTATCATATCTATCCAACACCAAGACTGCAAGAATCTAAGAACCTCCCACTCAAGAACGCCTCGCGAACGTAACTGCAACAAGGGAGACCTCAAGCATGAGCGAAGTGACAGAGTGGAGCCCCGGCGCAGCGTCAAAGAATGTGAATGCCGTACTTCGAAAACAGACCCACCAGTTCCACTGTCCAAATGCTCAAGATCCGACACATCTCAAGCTTTCACCCTCCCCGCAGCGGTGGGTGGGACCCAATGCTGCCGAGCTCGGCCAGAACCTCGATGTACAGCCTGTCTTGCGCCTGTCGGAAATGCAACGATGCCCACTGTCCGAAGAGGTACTATGACGTGCTCAGATGTGAGAACACTGTAGAAATAGATAAAGCAAAGAGACTCGCCAGCCGACAAAAGGACCGCCAACTTGCAAGGATCATGGAAGCCCTCGTACAAGCCAAACATACTGCCACCGAGCTTAGCCGTACCAGATGAAAGATATCGCATCCGGCATACCGTAGGAGAATGAATCCTTTGAAGACGCCCTAGTGCCCCAGTATCCATGCTGAGGCTGACCCGTGAGCTTTGATCATTGGAAGGTAGTCAAGCCCAGGGACACGCTAGCATCCGTGGGTCCTGCCTTGACCTACGAAAGCTTCGAAAACATGTTTCTTAGTCTTTTGCTTGTCCCGGACGCGCAGCACCTAAACCATGTGAAAATGATGTTCGAAAAGTTTACTACCCTCAGCCCCAATCCCTAAACCCCAATCCCTAAACCCCTACCCAATAGCCACCCAATGACCAAGAGGAAGGCGCCTTGTGGCGCTGGAAGCTGGTGATGTCACTGCTACGCCTAATCCAGAGCTGAAGTTTCCGTCTAAAGAAATCTAAAGTTCAGGGATGGGTCACGAGATGTGCGATCAACCTGTGAACCATTGGGAGGCTCCTGCACCCTACATGGCGGAACTCCCTGGCATTACGGCGGTAGCGTCTGGTGTCGTGCAAGATGTTGTCTCATCAACAACTTTTAGTTCAAGCACCTGCCCACAGCCACCCTTCACTAAGACCTGCTGCGTTTCGTGCTTCACCACCACTAGCAGCAAGCACCAACGCGGTAGAGCTTTGTCACAAACCATGCATAGTCTCAGAAAACAACCAAACCCTGACGTGAAAAAAAGGCTCACAGCTGGCAGGCTTCCTGTACGGGAGTCGCCGTGCCTGCTCACCGCTGCCGCGTTGCCCGAGTGCAGGCCTGGAAAGCAGAAGGTATTTCAATAAGAGCGGGCGATGTGCTTGGTAAGACAAGAACAGCTCGAAGGAGCCGGGGAGAAAACCAAAAAAGCAGTGGGGAATGATCCTTAAGCCTAGAATGAGCTTTCACCATTGAGGTTTCAATGTGGGAGGGGGTTGTTCAAAAAGGTCCTTTATAAGAATGGACCATGGAATAGGAGCCCCTTAAACAACTACCATGAGCACTCTTCACCCTGACACTGCGACTTGATGTGAATAAATGACATGAGATTTGTCACTGCAACTTGGAAGTAGCGCAAGCTGACCAAGAACCGTGCTTTGCTTTTGGCTCTTTAGATGCGAACTTCACACCATGGAACCTTTCAAACGCTTTGCAAACGGCTGATACATCATCCTCTCGCCACCCAACTGTACCCCTCTCCGAACACAACAGCGACGGGGCACAAATCCCAGGGGCAGCGAGGGGCAGCGAGGGCCATCGTCAGCATCGTTGCCTTAATTAACACGAAGCCAACCCACATGACATGCTGCAACGAATGGAACAAGCAGCGTACGATAGTGCTGCTCGACGTTCACTATCGCAACAAGCAATGCGCTGCCTGACACATCTGACAATCATGAATGACACGTAAAAGTGCAACCGGGAGCGAGAAAACTTGCGCGTTCATAGTTTAGTGAAACCACCGGGTGCAAAACAAGAATTGTTGGTTTGCCAATCTGGGTGTGGCTTCACTGCATGAACTGCTGCAAGAGAATGCTAGGTTGCAAATTGCAACCGAACTTGCTAACTGTACACGGGATAGCATTTGGCCCGAAATCCCCGGATTGCAGGGGTATCAAAGCCCCAAAAGCATCAAACCGTTCTACAAATGAAGATGCAAACTGCAGCGAGCGGCCATGCTTGAGAGGTCACGTCGGAAGACGTTGGTAGCTCGTCTGCTCAGACAAACGGTCTTGAGCCCTCATCCGCCGAAAGGCGCAAATCGAGTGTGTGCGCACCCGTCCTTGCGCCCATGCGCTGACACCACACAAATTCATCCAAGAAAGCTTCTGGCATTCACATCTTTTGCGAATGTGCAAGAAGAGTTCACATGCGACACTTCTAAAATTTTGAATGCTGCGATATCTCTTAGAATAGGATTGAACACGGCCATTTGGCTCCCCAGAACATCACCAGAACCTGTCTCACCACAATGGTGAACAATTAAGCAAGAACACATTCCGCCTCAAATCAGTTCATTTTTTCATCGGTCGCCAAGCCGTCAAATTTTGATTGCGATGTTAACTAATGTATGATCTGCTGTTGTGCTACCGCAACCATGAATCACATTGTATACGTTTCGGCATTATCAAACTATCAAAACGCCATGTGGCGGCTTACATTGCACTGATGACGACCATGCCCCTATGCCATGCACCGCAAGGGGAAACATTACGTGGAAAGCTTCTTATGCCGTGTATCTAACAGTTGTGACCAGCTGGTTTGTGCCGCACCCGCACGCGGAAGGGGCCTATGAGCGTCTGGCTTCTCTGGATTGTTCCTGGCCCGCAATGTGGATTGGGAGCAAAGTCCAGCCATCCCAAGGCTGCCTAAGCCTCGGCTGCCTGTCGTTGCTTAAACCCGTAAAGGTACAAGTGCCTTGCATCTGCACCATTTTTCGCACTGCCATTTTGGGTTAGAGTCGAGAGGTCAACGATACACGTGTTTTTAACTAAGGAGGGGCACAAAAAGACACATTTTGTGAACAATTTGGCAAAAGTGGCAAAACTGTTCCTGAGCAAGCAGGGCGCTTGCCGCAGCCACCCCTGCGAGCTCAGGAGCCATTTTACCATTATCCGCGCCAGAGCTGCCTCATCCTCATGACTGTCGACAATTTCAAAACAACCATGCTTCAAAAAAGTTCTAATGACCAAAAACGTGCCACAACGAAGGTTTTTCAACTCTTTTGAGACAACACCTAGCCAAAAAGATGCCAAAACGCTGGGCTTTTTCGTGCGAAAACGCAGAACTTCTGAACACCTTTGAGACATCACATATGAACCACGCCATAGCTGTCTCGTCCTCGTGACTGTCGTCACGTTGTTTAAGCAACCATGCCTGGAAAACACCTCAAATAACCACAGGGTCTTCAACACTTCTCAGACAACGCATACCCAAAATCCGTGCCGAATCGCCGGGTCTTTCAACACTTCTGAACACTTTTGAAACATAACATAACCACAAACATGCATGCTTGAAAAACATTTTTGAAACGTCACATAAACAAGAAGGCGCCAAAACGCAAGGTCTTTCCCCACTTTTTTAAAACACTTTTGAGACCTTATTTGGTTATCATTCGGAAGGAGCCCTTCCGAACCTTTGGCCATCATTCGGAAGGAGCCCTTCCGAACTTCGGAAGGAGCGCTTCCAAACCTCATTTGGCTCTCATTTGGAAGGAGCCACAAACTTTGCCACAAACTAATTATGCCAGCGATTGTCGACAAATTAGGGAACATTAAGATTTTTGACAAAGGGAAAACCGTGTGAAGCAACAATGCAACGAACAGCACAGGCAGCGTGTGACGCACATCATGAAAAACTTTGGCCCAGATGCGTTTTTTGGAGCCCAAACCAATTTCACAGATAAACGTTGTACTTGGCCTCCACAATCTCCTTTTTGATCTCATTTCCTGGACTTCTCATGGCTTCTCCAAATATCACTCAGCCTTGTGCGGCAAAAAGACAGGTACATTCTCTAGATGCGTCTTTCGGACCCCGAACAACGCATCCAGACCATTTGAGGCCCCGGGGAGTGACACAAAAGAATGAGAATGATCAACAAGCACGGGGTTGCGTGGAACTGTCACATATGCGTGTCTTAGAGCCCAAACTGTGCATCTATGTCTGTTTCATGTGTCGCTTCACAGATAAACGTTGTACTTGGCCTCCACAATCTCCGTTTTGATCCCGTATTCCCTGATTTACTTGAAGCGTTTTGCCACCATTACACTGAGCATTCCACGGGTATGGAAGACTTGCATCCATTGAATGTACAAATGCATTCACATTTATTCCACGCAATAGAAGTCATCATTTTTTTCGCACCCAAGGCGAACGGTGGGGAAATCTGTTTGATGATTTGAGTGAAGCACCGGTGCCATACCTAAAGCATGGCACCCGCACCAACGATCACGCGCGAGGTCCTTCACTCGCCCCAAGCGCCAAGGACGGAGCTCGCAAGAGCACTGAAGTCTACATCCACTTTGGCCCCAAGCCCTTCACAGGAATCGTCACGGGATGGCTCATCGGCAAATCCATCACGCGTCTCTTGAACGATGGCAGCGCCATACGGGTTGACTGAGGTGCCACGGATCGTGCATGATAGGGCTCCTTCGTTATCGCTGAAAGCTACTATACTGCAACCACGCAAGATTGGGTCCCATGCATTGAGGCTTCCAACCACGCCAAGCACTCTCCTCTTCAGCAAGACGTCGGAGCCTTCTTGCTGAAGTAGCCAATCTTATCGCCAGCCATGGAAGCGATGACGCCCCCTAAACCACATCGCCGATCATCGTACGAAGCATCCGCGTAAATATGCCAGGTACACTGC